GTTCAGATAATTTAAATTTGATTCGAAAACTAATACATTAGAATATTATAATTTATCTGATGAAATTTAACTTAGTTTCTCCTTATTTTCTAATTTCTCTACAATTGTCCAGTCGAAGTGTCAATTCAATACACAATTTCAACTAAGGAAATAAACTTATATATACGCACCATGCAGTAGCATAGTTCAACATCTAAGTTTAGACTGTAATTATTTAACATTATAATGTTCAAAACATAAATTAAAAAAAATGAAAATAATAAGTTTACATTAATACTATACATATCATACAACTCAAAAAGTCGAGCCTATTAAAAAAAATTGATTATATAACAAGACCACTTTTTTTAACCATTTTTAGTTAAGAATAAAAGTGGGTAGCACAATTGTAATTAGAGAATACAGCAATTTATAACCTCCAAATAAAATAAAGTTATAGTTGAATATTGTAAATTTAGACTAGACCTAAAATTACATATCCTTGCTGGGATCACATTTAAATTTTGTAAGATAATCTGATCTGTGAATTTCAAGATAAACCACAATATATATCATCTATTTGGCGGGAGCATTATAGAAACAAAGAACAAATTTCATTATTTAAATAATGTCTTTTCTTAAATAATAGTGTGAAAGCTTGTAAATACCTCTATAATGATTCAATTATTTTCATTTGAGATTTTATGACACTAGCTTTCCTGGCAACACCAGTAAATTCACAAAGTTTTAACAAAATGTAATAAGTTAATATAAGGATAAATATTTTCAATTATTATACACACATCAACGAACAAGAGATGCTTAATTTGGTGCTTCCATTGTCTTCATATATAACTTACCAAAGATACGACTTCTTCAACAAAAAACGGTATTAATACCATTTACATTTTTTCCCTCTTCTTTTGATAGATGTGATCTTATTCACAACTTGAGAGAGTCATCACATTTGGTCTTCATCGTGAAAGATATCTTTATCATGAGTACTAACCTTTACATGATTTTGTTTACTATTCTTTCGAGCATATCCTTACCCTTTTATCTTTATCACAAGAATGTAGGGAACTAGGGATGATCTTCTTCCTCATCATCATTAGCAAAAAGGCATATTACAGGGGCTGTCCTCTACTTTATCATAATCATTAGATTCATTAGTTTCCTCACCAATATATAACAGTACGTAGTGTATATCCATCATGTTACTAGGTTAGGCTTCAAATTAAGTCAGCAGACTTGGACTTGGTGAATGAGTTACACTGAAGTTGGTTAGGTATTGGTGTCTAGGGTTGGACTTTATGTGGCGAGTTAGGTTAGTCATCATTTGGTATTTTAGCCTTTTTAGGTTGGAGTTTAGGTATATATTAGGTTAGTGCTCAATTGATGATGATGTCCCAGCTTAGGCCATATTTTGTTGCTTATTGAACTCACTTGCTAGTTGTTACCCCGTGAAGGTATTAAGTATTTTTGAGTCTTAAAAAATGAGATATTTAAAATCAAAATTTTTAGAATTCAATTTAAGCTTGTAACAGTAATAACTTTTTATAAATTTAGATCATTTTATGATGTTATTAAGCAACACAATATGATCAGAGAAAAGCATAAACTTTATCAACTTTAATTAATGAGTTCTATAACCAAGTATGGTAGGTCATTACTTAATGAAAATTGTGTTTTTATCTATCTGACATGATCATATTATATTAATTAATAATACAAGAGGATCTAAATTATATTTAATGTTTATTATAAAACAATATGTAGTTTAATTATATTATTAGAGTAGTTTAAAAGTAAAAAGAAGACTCACTTGTTAATAAAGGGTACATTAATAAATTTAATAATTAATTTTAACAAAATAATTAAATTTTTAATTTGTATATTTTCTTATTTTTCTAGATAAATAAATAAATAACAAAATTAGTATATTTACTGTATTAGGAGAATTTGTAAAATCGTTAACTGTATGCAGCAGATTTAGTGATACGTTGCATTTTGATAACTAGCAATTTTCTCATGCTTTGCACGGATATCATTAAATTAAATTAAATTTTTGAATAATGAATTAAATATATTATATTTATTAATAATAGATATTCTATTACATTAAATAAAATAAAAATAAATTATAAAAAATTAAAGTAATATATATATATAGTATAATAATAAAAATATTGATTTTAAAAAAATAAACATTCTCATTTGAGAATACTCTTTAAAAAAATAAAATTAAAAAAGTTATATATGGAGATTGATTAGATGTTAGGAAGTACGATAGATGAGGGGGCGGCAATGTGGTGTCTGTAATCATTCATTCATTCAAAGAGAATTGTTACTTTGGAAGCCCTCCCTCTCGTGGGACCAATTCACCTTTTCACTCTTATCACATTGCATCCACATCTTCTTTTTTCTATCAATCACCCCACTTAATTAAGCGTAATATTTCACACTATACCTGCACAATTATATCAATCTTGTTCAATAATCACTAAAAATATATAGTTAACCAAACATTATAGTCTGTATTGTACAGCAAAATCAAGGACCACCACAACGAACAATGGAATATATCACAATGCATACAAACTCATTTTTTGGGGTCAAAAGCATTAAGCGTACCTCTACCCAATTCTAAATTCCCATGATGTTGCACATGAACCAAACATAACCAATTAGTCTGCAACAAAGAAGTAGTGGATTAAATTATGGGCAGGAAGAAGGACAAATTTCAAAAGGAGAGGGAATATTGTTGTATATTGATGCATAAGAAGCAACTAGCACCTATCAACCAACGTAATACTCAATATTTCATGACGTGTATATATCTTTACTCTTTGTTAGCTTAAAGCTTTACCTCAAGCTAGTTAATTATTTGATGATTAATTTTAAATTATGAGAACTTGAGAAGTGATTAATATGATTGATACTATTTTCAAAACATTCACTCTATCTTGACTTCTCAAGACTGAAGATCAAACCCTTTGGCTATATGGATATCCACTTATATTTTCAAGATTACGTGATATTTTACTCAAATTAAATTTATTTAAGTAACAAGTTTGCACTCTCAACTACAGTCCACAGGAGCTGTCAAAGTCTCAACTTTTAGTAAGAACACTGCTAGAGATATGTTGTTGACAACCGCTAATTGTGCAGCGAAGATGTGCCATATGCTGCTTGGTGCCTTATACTTGTGAGACAGTGACTTAAGACAACAAATCCCAACATGTCATCCAAAGAGAAGACCAAGTGTGCATCATGGTGGCAATTAAGTTTTTGCAAGACAGTTACCATTCATTAGATTTTTTTTATGTTAATTAACTCAAAATTTTGTTGAAATCTTGCAGCTTATATTAGAATTTCATATTTATTAACAAAATTCAAATGGACTATGGTTTCAGAAGGATGCTCTCTAATCGCAAATCATTTTTTTAAAATTATTTAATTGAATGTTAAAAATAAAATCATGAGGCATTTTCACGAGTTTGGCTGTTGAATTTAACTTTAATTCATTAATAATATAAGTTTTATCATTGTCATTTAATTCTTCAAATAATTGCTACTATAATTAATTTCTTTTAAAGATATAGATGATTAAATTATAGTATAAATAGAAAGGTGTATCAACAAAAAAGGTAACCTCCACTGAAATAGAAATTCTTTGAATGATTGAATCCAATCAAGTCACATAATTAAGGAATCATTCAGTGGTTATAACATTTGATTAATTTGTTGTGAATCCTCCATGGTGAGTAAAGTTAGTTGCTTCACAATTCCACATGGCCAAGACAAGATTTACCAGAAAAAAGTTGCTCCCTTTTTACTAAATTCCCCTTTTATCAAAAGTTTTCAACATTGTTTTAATTGTTCGGTTAAGTTAACATTACTAAAAATTATATTCAAATCCACAAGAGAGAGAATTATCTTCTTGTCAATCTGTATACTCCACCACTTTGTTTGTCCATTTGACATAGAATAGATTAAATGGATGTTGAAAACTCAAAACTGTTACCTTCACGTATAGTGCGCTGGGCCTACATGCATGGTCTCACTCTCACACTCGTATATTGGGTTTTGTGGGTCAAGTTGTTTTTATGTGTTTTTATGCCAAGCTTGTCAATTTCTAAACCTGTTTTTGCATGGAAGAATAATAATAATATAAAAGAGATGACAATATGATCGACGAGCCAACCAATGAGTCTGTGGCTGTTGTTGATATAATGAATCCTAATCAGTGTACACTCTGGTTAGTTGCATACTTGAGCTAAGCATGCATTTATTAAATTAAATATCATGTCTTAACTATGGTTTTGTTTGTTACAAGATTGTTCCTTGTTAAAGGAACCTTCCCCTTTGTGGGGTCATTAACCAATCTTGGATGTGATTTTACACTTGATTTGTAGGTATCCTTGCTTTTTGGTTTCCAGTCGTCAGCAGTTTTGGTGTCTGATGATGTATTTATTAACTAGTATATTTTGTGGCAGTGATAAATCTGCAACTGTAGTAGTAGATATTAGTTTGTGCATTATTGTTCTAATAATAATAAAAATACCCATTTGAATTTTTTTATAGTTTGGACTAGATTTAGTTATTAGCCAGTTGCTTAATTGAATATGAAACATAATATAAAAAAACATTTTTTCGTAATTTGTCTTTCCTACTGTAGTGAATGCTATTAGTACAACAGTTTTGTTTGTTGGTGCTGGCTCAATGATTTATCTTTCAGAAATTGATATCATCTTTATGTATATTCATACGTGTTCTCTTGAAAGTGACAATTGGCATTGTTGGACATACTTTTAGGTTTCTCCCAAAATTTCATTATTAAGAGTATGTTTTTCTGTGTGTTTATTATCAAAAAAATTGGAAGTGCTGTGAGGACCAACAATTTTATTTTATTTTTTACTTTTGCAAGTTGTGGTTATGGATGCCTTGCTATATAGTAACTCATTTTCTGTCCTTTTCTTATTGTTTTTATAGGGATCTCCATTCTAGTGTGCATTCATTCAAATAACTCCAACTTTGTTTTGTTAATTGTTACGATCTGAGAAGACCTCTTATTTAAATATTAGCTGCCAAATAGTGTTTAAAGCATGTCAGAGACTGCTTTCATATTTAAGAGCTTGAGGTTTGAAAGTCTTGCACTGTGCATAAGTGCTTTTTGGTTCAGTTATAGTATTTTGACCTGAGGCTATGAGAGCAAAGAGAGGAAAGCGCTCAGAGGTACGCTTTAACAAGCCTTGCAAACTTATCTGTTTGAGGATAAATATCAGCTATATGTTTCTTGACAACATAGAATTTCGCTTCGTTGCAGGCCTTTTGGCCCTCCATTGTGATGAAGAAATGGTTGAACATAAAGCCAAAGGTGTATGATTTTAGTGAAGATGAAGTGGACACTGAAACTGAGAGTGAAGATGATGGTATGCTTTTATTCTATATTCTTTGTCCTGTTTAACTCTATTTTTTTCTTTCTCTTTTCATTTTTTTGTTCCCTTCCTTGTTCTTTCAATTTTCATCCAGCTTGCTCTCTTAAAGATTCAAGAATGGGCGTGCGTGAAGATAATAATCCACTTAGAACACAATCCATATTCCCAAGTCAAACATCAGGCAACACTTTATTCTTTTGCAGTACTATGTTTCTTTAGAGGAGATAATTGAAGGAAAAGAAAACACTGTATTCACTAAATTTATTTAAAATGGTGCCATTATGTGAATATGTGCTCTTTTCTCTTATAGACCTTGATCATTGCTTGCTCTGGTTATATAATTTGTTACAGTATTAACTTGTAATGAAATCTAGAATCTAAACGTGGCATCTTGTCATAGCTTGAATAACTTTGTTCGCACCTTTTGGTGGACATGGAAAAACTGTGCTCTTCGCTGATGTCAAATTAAACTTGCCAAGTACACATTACATATTGATGTTTATGGTGCAACAATGAAGCTGAAATGTTCCATGAAGAAAAGATAGGAAGTCAGAAACAAAGCATATGAAATTAAATAAACTTTTAAGCTAACTAGCTTGATTAATTTTGTGAACTTCAAATGATTGACTGTTTTTGACACCTGATGAGTTCAGTGTGTTAAAATCACCATCATATGTGATTTGATTTTGTAATTCAGATGCATCTTGTAAGGGCTACAAGATGAGACATAGAAGAGGGAAATCAGAAACTCTGCGTGTTCAATACATAAATACAAAGGAAGTGAGGTCTGGTGGTAATCTGGTTATGAATCATATTATTATTTTAATGATATTAATGATATGCATCATAAAATGGTTATTTTGCAGGGTAACAATTGGCACTTGGAATGTTGCTGGAAGACTTCCACCTAAGGATCTTGAAATTGAGGGCTGGCTTTGCACTGAGGAGCCAGCAGATATTTACATTATTGGGTATGTAGTTTCGGCAGTTGCCCATTGGTTTACTATTTCTACTGTGCTCAGGGTACACTCATGTCATGTTTCTATATTTGCTAATTCAACATTATGACAAATTTTTGGATCATTCACGAGATTTTAGGCAGAACTTAATATACTATTGGATTACATTTCATATAACCTCATAGGTTACATAGCTTTACTCTTACACTTATCTTGTTTCTGATCAAGTTCAAGGAGTTTCAGTTTTGTTAAGTGCATTAACTTCAACAATTATCTTTTTCTCCCTATTTATGTATTTTGTTTGTTTTTAGTGACATAGAGTGCTAGTCTGCTAGGTTTATTCTTGAATAAGTCAATAAAAAAGATTAAATGATGCCTATGCGACTTATGGCAACACCATCTTTTGCTACGCAATTAGGTAAGTCATTTGATTGAACAGAAGTTCATGTTTTGTAGATGGAAAATGCCTACATATTTTCCTAGCAGTGACTGTTTTTAGGAATATAAGAAAGTATCCTGTTCTTATAAGAAAGAATCACCTTTTATCTATATTTAAGCGTATTCTTAGTCTCCAAAAATATTGCCGAGGAACCTATTTGCATCACGCTTTAAGTGAAATTATATTACAGTGGGAAGCTGAATTTTCATTCCTATTTTTATATTCATTTGATGAGATTTTTCTCTGTCATTGATGTAATTTATCATGGGTATATTTTTAACAATTCCTATCAACTCTAACACACCTCTTACGCATGAGTGTTGTATTTGTATCCAATATCAATACACGTATGATATACTTGCATTTGTATTTGACGCATATTGCGCTTACTTGTCGATTTTAACATTCGCGATACTTGTGTTATTTAACTATTAGTATGATAATTTTATATTTCATAGATTTTTTAGGATATTCTTTTATTTTTAAAAAGTTATTATATGACTAAGATTTGCTCAAGATTATAATAAAATATTTAATCTCATACATAAATATAAATATATTTTACGACTAAATTATCAATTAGTCTTTCAGGTAATAGCAATTGTGCACGTTAGTCTTTTACATTTTAAAATTGTTGTTAGTCTCTGATATAACATAGTAATCTATCATGCAGTTAAGCTCCTTATGTTGGCGAACGACGAGAAATGTTAATTTTTCTTACATGTCTAAGTTAAGTGACAATGCTAAAATGTATCATTTCACATAAAGTCAAGGATTAATCTGATCGATTTTTGTCATCGTGGCTGCTCCCTCCTCTACCTATTACCCTAAAGCCCCCACCACTTCCTCTCTTTGTCTCTCTCTTTGAGGACAGAGCCACTACTTTAACTCGTTGTCGTGACCACAACCATCACCTTCTTCCATGTCCCAACCTTGAACTAGCATGTATTCTCTCTGACCAATGGCTTCCAGTTAAAGAAATTGCTACATCAAAGTTTCCAATAAAAAATTAATTGAACGGTCTAGATTGATTTGCCACAGTATCCTTCTGCTAAATAAGCCTACTACGTGCACTTTGATAAGTGGGGACAGAAGCTCTAGTGTGCATAGTAGTAGGTCATGTTGAAATCTTGTGTCTATCTCTCTTTCTCTCAATAAATATTAAATAGGCTCCATTTATATAATGTCTACCCTCAGAGAGATGGAGACAATTTCAACATGATTTTGTTGAAGCAATTTTTCTAAACTATGTAATATTACATATATTAAGAATCTAATAAGGTAGTAACCATTAAAAATTACATAATTTAATGTAATTCAATGCATTTATACTATTAAATGCTAAAACTTTCAATAAAAACTAATGTGCTGCTTTTAACAGTTTCCAGGAGGTAGTCCCCTTGAATGCTGGAAATGTTCTGGGAGCAGAGGATAACACACCCATCAGAAAATGGGAAGCAATTATTCGAAGAACACTAAATAAATCTTCTGAACCTGAAAGCAAACACAAAAGTTACAGTGCCCCTTCTTCACCTGTTCTAAGAGCTTCTGCTTCTGCTGATGTTCTAGTTGACAGTAAAGATGTTAATACACTAGAGATGATGAATGAAGAGTACTTAGCAACTTTTGACAATGATGAGCTAGAACAGCAGGAAGTGAAAAGCATAATTGGTATAGGAAAAAGTTTACAGTTGAGGAAAATATATGATGACATTGATCTTCAAACTATATTTGATTGGCCTGAACGTCCACTAGATGCTATTCCCGATGCTAATTCCAATCCAAAGTTGCGTAGAGTACTAAGCAGCTCAGATAGAATTGGCTTTAACTGGACAGAAAATACATTAAAATATGGTGGTGGAATGAAACGTTCACACCATAGTTCTGGAAATTTGGGTTTGTTATGGAAAGAGCAGCAAGTGATGCCTGAAGAAGTGATTGATACCCTTGATGACTTATCTGATATGTTATCTGATGAGGAAGATGATGCTTTTTTTGAATTACCAAATGACAATGATAATGGAATGGGTTGTATGAAGTCACATCCTAAGTATGTTCGGATTGTCAGCAAGCAGATGGTAGGAATATATGTGTCTGTTTGGGTGCAAAGGAGGCTGAGAAGGCACATTAATAATTTGAAAGTTTCTCCTGTTGGGGTTGGTCTTATGGGCTACATGGGAAACAAGGTAATGGCATAATGAACGTTTTTACACTGAATTTGACATCATTATAGCGTAGGTGTATATCTATAGAGTACTTCCAAGTCACTAGAAATTTTATGCCAATTGTTGACAAGTAATTATCGAACTTTTCAGCTGTACAGCATGTGATATATCACATGCACTGCTGAGAGTCAAGTATGCATTTTATGATCATTGGCAGTGTAAGTGCAAAATGTCTGTAAAGTGATCACATTTCACCTCATCGCGCCGTGGAAGGGTGCTTGCTACCCACTCTATAAAGATGAATTGAGCAGTGTCTTATTTCTCCACAAGTAAACCTTCATTCTAACATCTGAAATTGTAAGCGTTGGTTGTTTTAATCCTTTAACTTCAAAAAAGAAAAACATTACTTTAGTCCTTTTTGATACAAATGAATTATTTTTCACAAAATCAGAGACTAAAGTAAGGGTGTATATGGTCAAAGACTAAAGTGGCCAATGCTTACAAATCTTGACTAGAATGGAAGCTTACTTATGTTGAAGTTTTTACAAGACAAAAGTAATGCCCTCCATGTTACGTTATGTAGTGTTGCAACGTGATCAGTGGCAGGCTGTATGCAATGTTATATGTAGTAGAGCACAAGAAAACCCACCATATGTGTGCATTTACAGTTTATTCTAAATAACAAATTATGACTGATGCAGGGTTCTGTTTCAGTTAGTATGTCTCTCTTTCAGTCACGTTTGTGCTTTGTTTGTTCCCATTTGACTTCCGGTCAGAAGGACGGGGCAGAAATAAGACGAAACTCGGATGTTCATGAAATTCTACGACGCACCTGTTTCTCATCCGTCTTTGATACAGATCAACCACAAACAATACCATCTCATGAGTAAGCTTTACTTGAAAGTTGTCCTTTTATTTACAATCAACCTATGAGCTTTATTACATAATATACACCTGTGTTGGACAACATGATAAAAAACTATAATGAATTTGATCGTGAGTTGTCTGTTAAATTTTATATATATACCTGACGAGTTATCTTGCCTATGCAAATATCTGATCACAGCTTCATTCACCTTTTTATATTCCTAGTTCAAAATGGAAAAATAAATAAGTAGAGTCATGCATCAGAAACTTTGTTCTATCATCACAACATCCATGAACAATTCAATGAACTCAAAGAATGAAGTATCAATAAAGAAATTATATGCAGGTAAAATATCTATGTAAACAGCACAAAGGTAGGTTAAATCAGATATGAGGAGTAATTACTTTGCTGGCGGGAGGAATAAATCTAATCGATAGAAAAGGACATGAATAGACTGAAGATGGGGATTTGTAATATGCTTACAGTTAGCTATTATGAACATCTTGGATTAACTGATGGGTTGCTTCCTGCTAACAGTCAAATTTTCTGGTTTGGGGATTTGAATTATCGGATCAATATGATGGATGGAGAGGTTCGAAAGCTGGTAGCTCAAAAGAAATGGGACGAACTCATGAATTATGATCAGGTGAGAATTGTGAAACTTGGACTAGACTATTGGTCTTCAAAGTGATGCTCTAATTTTTATCAAATAATCACTGCTAGAAAATTTGCATCCTACAAAATCTAGACCTGGAGTAGCAAAAGGGATATGTTTTAGAATTTTCTAATTGTTCTACCTCATGTGCAGCTAAGTAACGAATTGCGTGGTGGGCATGTATTTGATGGATGGAAAGAGGGGTTGATAAACTTCCCACCCACTTACAAGTACGAATTTAATTCTGATAAATACATTGGTGAGAATCTAAAGGAAGGGGAAAAGAAGAGATCTCCAGCTTGGTAAGTACAAACATGTGAATGTTATTTTGGTGCATGTGTTAGACACTTATTATTAATCATATTAATGATAATGCAGGTGTGATCGTATATTGTGGCTAGGAAAAGGAATAAAGCAACTTGAATATAGACGTGCAGAAAATAAGCTCTCAGATCATAGACCAATTAGTTCAATATTCTCCATTGATGTTGAAGTATTTGACCCCCGTAAACTGCAACGAGCTCTAAATTTCACCAATGCAGCAGTACACCCAGAGGTTTTCCTTAAAGGTGGGGACTTGTGACTATGACCTACAAACGCACCAACTCTTGGTAAATATATTTCCATCTTCTTCTCTCTTTGACAATCCAATTCATTAGGTAGGTTTATATAAGGAAATGCTTTTGGATAATACTGATGAACAATCATGGCAGTCGATTAGCCCATCAAGGTGCATTTTTCTAATATATGAAATGGTTCTCGTTCGCTTCAGTTTAAAACCTTTTTGATACAAGTCGAAGGATATTCTCTAGATGTTTTTCTTATGTTACAAAATTCGAGGTGAGCTTAAGATTATCATACTCATGAGAATGTTTCTCCTTTCACAGGGTGTTTTTGGCTATAAAGTAACCTAGATAAGGACGTCAACTTCAAGGAGTGAAACCTCAAGTTTGCCATGCACGCAACCTCAGTTTTAAGGATCTGAATTAGTTACATAGAAGAGATAGTTATAGACAAATGTGTATATGCATAAAATAGAATATTGTGTGACACTTCCAGGGTTTTACTTTTTTCTTTTCTTTTTCTAATTAAAAATCTAGTCAACAGGTTTATACGATTTTGATCTCAGGTGTGCAGTTTGTATGAACGTTCAGTTTGTTGTTAATCTTCTCAATAATAAAACTTTTTGTCATCCGAGCACCTTATTCTAGATTGTGGAATATTACTAGTCATATTCCATGAATATTAACATTCCGAATAATTTCACTTATTTAAACAACTTTATCTGTCCAAATTCCTAGCCCACCATAATTTTCTTCTTAAAAATTTTATATTTAGATATAAAGTTTCGAAATTTTTTACATTAGTTTTAAATGGCCTGACACAATCAAAATTGGGATGATATTATCCTTAAGTTTCCAGGTTTAGGTTGTAGTGTAAATTTCAAACTTTTCTTTTAACTAAATCGATGGCTTTTATGTCTGGACAATTACTTTATTAAAGGAGTCATGCATTGCTGCTTCAGCATAATTTCTCTCCATTACATAATGTCTCTCATTGTATCTCTATAGAATAAAATCAGATTATCCCCAAATTCTCAGAGGCTTAAACGATCAACTACAGGAAAAACTTATTAACAAAAAACAAAAATAGATGACTATGTACTAAACTGCAAAAATTTTAATTATACCATACAAATGAATCTTCACACCAAACGGCGACAAAGTTACGAGCATCAGGTCTCCAAGGTGATATAGCATCAATGAAATATTCAGACGCAAATTACCCATTTATAGATGAGATTCATCATATGCCCAATCACAATTTCAATTTTAGAAAAGACAAAATTCTTCCCCTGCCAAACCTCTATTCATAAGGGGGAAAAGCAACCTAGGAATTTCAAAGAACGAAAACAAATTTGAAAAAAAAATGGAAGAGGGAATGAAAAGGGCGATCAGAACCTGTCGGGATTCATGTATATACATCACACGAATATCAGCGGATTGACAGACAAATGAATTGCTATCATCATCTCCCTTTTCACCCTCAACCAAAACCCTATGAACATTCAACTAGTCGCTATCACGTTTGAAGCTTTCTTAATTAACACAAAATCAAAACAAAAATCAAACAAGGGGCTAATTAGCAATAACTTTAAAATTTTTAGAACAATAGAAGTAAAAGGAATCAATGTTGAGCTCAGAACTTCTTAGAGGATGATTGCGCCGTCATGGACGAGCGCAACACTGACTCGCCTCCGGCACAGTTACATCTTCATCACAGACTCAGCATTTTCGTGTGAACAAAAGGAAAAACTGATTTGCAAATAACAACCGAAAAAATATCGTAAAATCTTTTTATTGAGAACCCACTCAACGGCGAAGAATCGATCGGAACAACTCAACGAGAGCTAAAACTAGAAATACCCGCAGTGGCGTGATCGTATGGACGAAGCGGATGAAACTGGCGATTATTTATAGATACAAATTAGGGTTTTATCAATATAGGCCCAGTTTGCAATGGATACCCGGTTCGATAGGGTATACACCTTCTATAGGCCTAATAAGCCATCCTCTATTCTGTATCATATGAAAGGTTTCCAAATTTGACCGAAAAAAATAAAAGGATCAAGCCCATTAGGCTCATGATATCTACGTGGAAGAGTGTTGCGAATACACCTTTTTCTAAAACATTTTTTATTAGTTATAATTTATTAAATTAGAAAATTAAAAGTGGAAATAACTAAATTGAATTATTTTCATATAATTTTTTATTTTCTAACAAGTTTTAGATAATAATAAAATATATTTAAAATTTTTAGGCTTTGTTTGATTTCACGCTTAGGAAAAAAGGAAAGAGGGAAGGAAATAATTAGGAATCAATAACCCTTATTTGAAAGTTAATTAAATATGTGTAAAAAAAGTAAGGGTTTTTTTTTAAATTCATCAAAATCATTCTAACTTTTTTTTTAAAGTTCCATTCTAAGAGTTTTAGTGACTTATGTAGTAGGGTTTATCATTTATATTTCAATTTATTAGATTAAATATTTAGCATAGTTTAGAGAAGAATAGTAAGAAAATAAAAAAAAAAATTTCAAAAAATGTTAGTTTTAGAGTGAAATTTTTTTAAAAAATTATAAAAAATAGAAATAGAAATTTTTAAAATAATAATTTTTAGAAAAAGTATAATATTTAATTTTTTAAAAAAAATACAAAATATACAAAAAAAAAATAATATAAAAGTATACTAATGTTAATTACATATTAAACCCTATATTAATCTTTACTCTTAATATCAAACATTCAAGGAAGGGGTTGAGGAACTCTCATTCCCCTTCTAAATTCTTTGAATCATTTTCTTCCCTTTCTTTCTAAACTTTCAACCCAAACAAAGATTAAAACTCTCTAAAATAGGGAAACTAAAAAAAAACAAGGTCAGGGAGAGATTTGAGATTATTAGAAAAATCTCATAATCCTTTCTCTCATTTAATTAACTTTTAAATAAATATTATTGATCACTAATCCTTTCTTTCTCCTTTTCTCTCCTCTTAAACATGAAATCCAAATAAAGCCTTAATGTCATTAATCTTTGTTGGAGAAAAATTAAAAATGTTGAAGAATTAAACTCATCAAAGAGATGGATCCTGTTCCACATAAAAGTAGGATAAACCCATCAAAGAATTAGTTTTCTTCAGAAATTGCTTCTCTTATATAATCACCGTGCATGAGACATTTAAATTTGAAGTCTTGTCCAAAAAAAAATGGCATTAGTAGTTAGTATTAATCAATTGTTATGCATCAATGAAGTCTTGCACGAGTCTCATACAACTAAACTCGTGATAAAGTTTTTATAGTATAACGTAGGATTTTAGGGCACTTACGTTTAGTTTATAGCTAATGAGTGAACTTAAAATAATCAAACATAATATTCGATTAAAATCAGATAGCAAGTCAATTGAATTTGAAAATAGTGCATATTTTATGTAAAGTGTCGAAATAGAAGGAGAAACTTAACTAACGTTTCAAAGAAAATAATTCATTTTGTGAGATCATCAATATTATATGTTTAGCACTTGTATTTTTTTTTTATAGTCTAGCAAATAGTTTTATTAGTAAATTTTTTATATGATATCAAAGCATGATTCAAGTCGACTTTTGAAAAGTTCAAATTCTACATGATACTTTAGATATTCATATAACAATTATGTTTTTATATTTTTCCCAAGCCCTTTTTTCTTAATTGGGATCTGATCTTTAATCGTTTAAGCAATTGGTTAAACGAGGCGACATGTTGGACCAATAAACATTTTATCAAGTCAATTTTATAAGATCCTTTTAAAGTCGTTTCCATTGATTAATCCATATACCTAGGCCGTTAAAGATTCCAGCTTGATAGATGTTCAAACAATAGAGCTAAATCGGTGCATCTAATTCCACCTTAAATAGAACTTGGCAATTTGATCAATGTTCAAACAAATTGTGGCAGTTGAATTTCTATCTAATCTAACACCTTCTTACATTTGAATGCTATCTTACTCTCATAATTTTTATAAGTCGAATAAATTAACTCTTAAAATTTTTAAATAGACTTAATAGTCCTTACGATTTGTGTCATTAAAGTGTTAACTTTTGTCATAAACAATCATTGGGATGTTAAAATCATGCCATTTGTCTTCCTTTCACCTCTAAGCAACATTGTTTCTCTCCAGAGTCCCACTTCCACCATACTCTACCCTAACAAATCTATTTAAATATTTCGAGAACTAATTTATCCGACCCTGACGATCACAATTTCAAATACTAGTTTGCTAGTTTACTCAGTTTTTATGTGATTTTTTCTTCTTCCTGTGAAACAAGATAATAATATAACTTAAGAGATCTCAAATTTGAACCATCACCCCGTCTCTTTAAGATGAAATAAATGTAAATCCTTTGTAAATATTTTTTGAATCGAATAACTACCATTACCTTGAAAGAAGAAACCACCACTTTCCCATAAAATTTGTAACAAAATAATAATTTAGGTTAGTTTTCTTTTTTTCTCGATTTGGACTACTACTTGAAGACAACCTTTTTAAAGTTATTTTTTCTCTAAAACAAACAAGATATATCCATACTTTGTGTGTGTTTTTTTTTTTTTTTGGGGGGGGGGGGGGATATAGTAATACACTAAACAATGAATCCCTTCTAATGATGCTTTTTCCACACAAAATGATCACATTGACCTTGCCCTAAACCAACTCCTTCAAGATAAGTAGACACCATAACCGCCCTTAACCTTAAACCCCTCAATATGGGTAAAATACCAGCCAAGGTATGAAGGGCGGTTTGCCAAGCCTGCCTAATTGTAATTGAAATGATAAAATAGGACTGTCAGCTACAACCATAACACCTAAAATTTAACAACCCAAAATGATAAATTGAATGTAGAAAATAATGGCAAGAAATAAAGTAAAAATGAGATGAAATGAATAAAAGGCTGGGTCTAAAATAAAAGATTTATTGATTAAATTACCAACAAAGGGTAATTGCGATTGTTCACTGAAAAATACTACTAACAGAACTATCATCATGAATACGCCAAATAGTTTCACCCAACAGATTTGCTACGGTAAGAATCGTTAACTGAGGGAAATAGTTCTTCTCTGCAACTGGGATGGTGTTTGTGATAATAACCTCTTGAAACAAGCCACCGGACAACCTCTCAATAGCAGGAGGACTGTGATTATCCAAATAAAACAAAGCAACCGTAATATGAATACTTTTTCATTATATCATGCTAAACATTAATGCCACGACTCCACGAGCAATATTTATATAGCAAATCTGACTAAATACTCATTACTGAATAGCAATTAGAGTTATAGTCTAAAAAACTACGAATATTGAAAGAAACTGAAGAAAAAATTATGAGCAAGCACAACATGCTTCAGAATTTGGCTGTAGACTCAAGACTATAAATTTCACCTTTTATCATTTACTAGAGGAAGATAAAAAAGGAAGAATAAAAATGTTTGGCACAACCAAAGGCAATACCTGAAAACAGCATGAGTGCAGCATGCATACACTTCCCTGGCTCCCTCTTCATGTAATAGGGCCGCACCCTTAGCAATGGTCCCTGGCATAAAAAACAATTTGAATCAGACATATAACAACAAATATCAATAATGAAAAAGGCCAAACGAAACAAAAACAGCCATCATTGTTGCATATGCAACAAAGAAGAAAAGCCAACAATGCTCCTTATGGGAATGCAAGCTGAACCTTTCAAACGGTAACCAACCATCTCCTCATGCAAATGGATGACTTAGAATAAGACTGAATTTGTATCCCTCAATTATACTCTTACGATAGTGTTTATTATTTATTTGTAAATTCTGATACAAATACTTCAAAAATTACGAACACCAAAATATGCTAATAACATTTGGGATCTGTTTGATATTGTGAGTTCATTTTAAGATGTGGCCAACCACGAAAATACACTAAGATAAGAATAATATAGCGAAAAAGAAAAAAAAAAAAAGGTTAGAATGTAAATAAAACTTCAATTAATAAAGACAAGCTAAGAGAACTTGTTTGCTTAGTTAGATTCTTTTGACCCAGCAGATAATAACTATGAGGAACAAAAAAGCACAGGATAAAAATCTCTTTTCCAATCAGCATACCAGCAGTGTCAATCATATCATCCACCATTACTGCAACTTTTCCTTTTACATCACCAATCAGGTTCATCACCTGCAGGGCAAACATAAGACAGATAAATATACATTGAAAGATCCATGTAGTTAACTAACTCAGCCTTGAGAATGGTTAGGATAATATAAAATTAACCCAACAATGTGCACGTTCAAAAATAACAATAACAAATTGGGCTCCTCATCCCTAAGGAATACCCATGTAACTTAGATTGGCCACTTAATACCTTACTAATATATTTTGAAATGGGAACAGAAAAGATATGTAACTATGGTTTTCTTCTCATGATAACAAGTACAGCACAAGTAATTTTTTAAAATTGTGATTGTCATCTACTAATATTGTCATTATGGAATAATGAGAAATGATCAATACATCTTTATAAATATTGTGCAGGTGTGTAAAGTATTTGATTTAAAAAGAAGAATGCTAGCAACACACTCTTTTTAGCACACTCCTAACTGTTAGACAAAATTTATTAAAACTACAAAAATTCTATAGATTTCATTCTCTCTCACTCCTAAATTAATGTTTCTCTCTCATATTTTTGTACTTTTCAACAAATTATAGCCAATAATTAGGTGTATT